TCTCTCTCTCTCTCCCTCCTGGCCTGTGTGCTTGCCCTCTGCCCGCCTGGTGGACAGCTGGCTCGCTTGGCTGTTGGCCTCCTGAGTGGCCTTGAATGCAGAGACGTGCCCTTTCACTTGTTAAGGTGCCTTTTTGGGGCAAAAGCGGTTCTTCAAGAAGAGATGATCCTGGAGACGAACAAAAGCGCCACAAGGGACACCGTGTCCCTGGGTAAAAAGATGAAAAATCTGAGAGCCATTCACATGCTCTGGACGATCCGTTGACCAACAGCTCCACTATGCGTAACCGAGGGCAAAAGTAGTTAGCACCATGTTCATTGTTCAACACCAACACACACAAATACGGGCAGTGTCAGGCACATATCCAGAAACAGTTTAAACTGCGTATACCTATATAATACTTCAAAATTCTTAAAAGGAAAAACGGCCAATGAAGGACGTTGCCTGCCGTGCCCAGGGAAAAGATTCCTCACTTGGCTCCAAAAGCCAGTCCCAGGGGGGATGAAAATCTTCTCTTCCGGCTGACTGTCACGTAGTGTGAGCCAATCGACTGGAGCAGCCGGAAAAAAAATCAGGCCCTGCACCCCAAAACCATGCCGGGCTGGGTTCCCCAAAAATCCTGGGCTGCAAAGCGCGAAAAACTGTGTCATGCGCGTGCCCAATTCAGGCCCACAGGCCGCTGCATGAGTGTTTTAGATGTTCACCACAACAGCCCTTGTTCCACCCAGATAAGTATTATCCAAAATTGATGCAGCTTTACTTCTATTGCAGACAATGAACCACAATCGAGAAGAGTCATTCCAACAATGAAACTGTTTTACCTCTACAGAAGCAAGCAACATCGAGCTGAAAAGCTGCAGAATAGATAGGTTATGCCCCTTTCCTGACTATCTTTACTTCGGCTTTTTTGGGGGTACCCCTTCTATATGTTATAAGTATCTTTGCTTCCCTTTCAGTACAGCCCACTGTAGGTGGTTCATGTGATAGTCTGTTTTCCTCCTCAGGCTGCTGCGTCTGTTGTTCGTCTTCAGGCTGCTGTGTCTGTTGTTCGTCTTCAGGCTGCTGCGTCTGTTGTTCGTCTGGCGAGGATGAAGGAGATCCGGCTACGGTTGCAGCAGGTGTTAACAAAAAAAAAAAAAAAAAAAAAAAAGGAATCCCAACCACGTTATTAACACCGAGAAACTAGTTATATAGTGTTCCATCGTCACAGGGAGACTTCGTCCTCCTCCCAACCTCGGCGCAGGCCTGCGCCCAACCTATCAAGCCCATCAAGCCCATCAATCGCCATCAACTCTCCTGAACCCAACACGTCACTCAGCAGTCCAATCACGATGCCCACTGCAGATGAAGTGTCCGTGCAACAGGGGAGAGTAGCTCCCAGGGTGAAGAAGAAGAACCACAGCACGGTGGAGATGAAGATGCTGCCCTTGAAGGAGACTTGCGAAGCAGCGGCTTCGCTGGCCGCTATCCGACCCCCAACACGGCACAGCAGGGAGGTAAGCACTCAGCAGCGCCTTGGGTCTGTCCCTCCAACACTGCCCTTGATGAAGCTGATCGGCCCAGCTATGGCCGTCGTCCACCACCAAAACCACGAAGATGAAGCCCTCCACTTTCCGGTGCAGCAGGTTTTCACCGACCTTCCTTCCAGCAACGTGAAAAGAAAAAAGAAAAAACTAAGAAAGAACCCATTCCGAATGTTCCCCTTTTCCCTCGACAATTTTGTACACTTAGGTTTGCACCGATTTTAATTACCCTACAGCCTGGGACCGACAGCATACAGCCCAGGACCGCATGTAGAGTTAAAACTAAGAAGAAGGGGAAGACAACAACAGGCCTACGACAAAAGAGCAAGGCCTAGTGGTCTAAGACTAGCTAAGAGAGGAGCCCCAGCAAGTGACAGGTCCCAGGATCAAGACCCGCTAGACTCAGAACTAACGAAAAGTTAAAACGTAAAACACACTTGAACAAATATGCCACAAGGAGAAAACAGCCTAACGACTTAGTGTTACACCCGCTGAAACCTGCAATTCATTGCGTTTGTGTGTGTGTGTGTGTGTGTGTGTGTGTGTGTGATTGTTTGTGTGGTACGAGGCTGCCGCGAACGTGCCACGGCATGTTGCGTCGGAAGGTGTGCTTATAAACAACACAGGGAAAGAGCCCGCAGCCCAGGATGCCCATAGAAAAGAATGCTTATAATGTCCAGCTTTTTTCCCCCATTTAAAACTATGCTATATTCTTCTCTCAAATCGTTCATCATCTTTTAAATTCTTTCAATCCAGCTTTCAAAACCCATCAAACAAAAAAAGAAAAACACAAAACAAAAACCAAGCCAACCAGCGGCACGGCAAGTACAACAAGGCAAACAAAGTGGCAGGGCAAATGTCAAGACGCAACACGGCACTTGGACGACAAGCTGCAGCAAAGAACAAAGGGTGGAGGGCATGGGAGAGGCGGGCGGGCAGACAAACAGCACTAGGCAGAAGAACGAGGCGGCAACAACAAGTCAAGAAGTAGCACTAGGGCGGTGAAGCGACAGCATGGAACGTAGGCTGGAGGGCATGGGGGAGGCGGGTGGGCAGGCAAGCAGCACTAAGCAAGAAAAGAACGGACAGGAAGTCAAGAAGCAGCAAGGCAACAAGACAACAAGGCAGACAAAAGAACAGGTACCAAAAAAAACACAGCGCGAAAAAAAATAAAACTGATGAAAGATTGTTTCGTCAGAGTTGCACCGACTCATCAGGAGGCTGAACCCTCGACAATCTGCGGAATCTTCGTACTGAATGGCTTGGGTCATGAACCCTTTGACCCCTGTTGAAGGCAGAGTGTCCTCCAAACCGAAAACAGCAGTGGGCCGCAACCCAGCGAAGCACCAGGCAACGCTGTAGAGGCAACACGGCTGCTCAGCGCTAAAGACGACTGCAAGGAACGACACAGGAAGCGGATGATGGATGGACAGCACAGCAACCGTGCAGTGAAGCACGAGGCAACACTAGCAAGGCGACCAACCTGCAAGGGACGACAGGGCGAGCGGACCAGCAGTTCGGCAACCCTGCAGCGAAGCACAAGGCAACAGCAACAAGGCAACCAACCTACAAAACACGCAAGCAGCAAACATGGAAGGCACGACCAGCGGATGGGCAGCTGAGCAGCGAAGCGCAAGGCAACACCAACAAAACCGCCACACAACACAGCGAACACATCAACTTGCAGAGAGCCACATGCGAAGCAAGCAGGACAGGCTGCAAGGCAGCGGTGGAGCGCAGACGAGGCAGTCCACACATCCAACATGGAGCGAAGCGGCACATGACCGACTCACATCATGATTGAACCCCGCAGACTATTGGTCCCACCACCCCCAGAGCCAGGGAGACACTCCGACGAGCATCCGTCATCATCCACAGGCAACACAGACATCCCGAACCGAGCGGCACCCCTAAGAGTGCTGTAGGCACTCCAGACAAGGAATGACCGACTGTTTGGCACAACTTAAAGGTGCTCAGTTGGGCAGACAAAAAGTACATGGAAAAAATCAGAGGGAAGACAGGCAGCCATAAAA